GTGCGCTGAGTCGACTTCTCATACAAGCAGGATGCTAGCATAGTTAATTTTCAAGGCAAATTTGCAACCTCTTCTGAAAGCACAATGTTAAGAAGAGTCCTTTATCATGTACACATTTCCGCAGAGAGGCTCTCTTCAGGACAATCTCGGTAGTTACGGATCTCAAAAAGTTTTTTTTTTGGTTGTCCTCGATTGCATTGACGATCGACAGACTGACAGTTTCAATTTTAAAACAAAAACAATTGTAGCAATAAGAACAGAATGAATTGATTTCCTTAAAGTTCGGTTGGTCCAAATAACAACTCGTTCATAGCATTATTGCCGCTGATAGGAACGTTCTCTAAGTTCAATCCGCGCACAATCAACAACTCACTCCGCCCTAAGTAAGTCCAATGGTCCTTTGCACGTTCAAAGTTTGAACTACATATCCCATTACGTGAAATGTTTACAACATTTCATACTTTGGCGAATTTTAATAAAATCGCCAATAGGATTAGCGAAGAACAAGCCGCAGGTTAATCAATTGAAAAAGAGCTATGAGCGCTTGTCAATCCATATCAAAAATTTTTGCAAAAAATAATTGTTGCGCAATGCAAGTTCATATCTTTGTTTACTACTTCTTTAGAGTCTGTGGAAACACTTATTGTAAGCTTATGAATGTTGTGGTGAATTGATTGCCTTAATAGGCTCGTGGATAATATGAAACTGCATTGCACTGTCTTATTAAAATACATTCCCGAATCTTTTTTGTTTCTGTTTAGTACTGATCATCAAGTCGAATAGTTTGATCAAGGACAAATACCAGCTTTATGACAGCTATTTCATCGGCATAGGAGAAGAAATGGTGATTTTGTCATGGTTGCTCTGTTTCAGGTCCTCCAGATAAAGCCTTCAAGTTCCACTTGACTCCCTTTCCAGTGATACCCCTGGATGAGCCGGTGAATGCCACTCTCACTTTTACAGCAGGTTAGTAAGTGATGTGGAAAGCTGCTGTGACCAGGCTAGATTATTCGACATACTTATCCAGTCGCCATTTTCCCAAGAGTAACTATAAGTGAACTAAGAAATATGTTAACAGGGAATCTAAATTACATTTCTTGAAAAGTGTCAAACATATAAAATATTAAGTACTTTACTATTTAAACAATAGAGTGTTTCTGTTGAGGAACTATCGGCTGATAGTCGCCCCGCGGAAATCTAATGTTCTTAAAACAAATATTTTCCCGAGAAGCGAAGCGTTCAGGGCAAATATGCTATTTTTAAAAACATCAAATTTCCAAGGGGCAACTATCAGACCGATAGTTCCGAGACCTAAACACTCTATTGTCTTTATTGTTCACCACTAAATTTTCATCCGCGCGCCAGTTTCAAAACAATCAAAACCCACTAAGTGCAGATCAATCAAATATTAATTCATGTGTACAGCCTGTCAGAAATGTCAATGATTCCCAACAGTAGATTAGCTGTCAGAATTGAAAAGTCACTGTTTTTCCGATCTGCCTATAACTTCGCGGCCGTTAAACCATTAAAAATTTTTCACGGAGGAGTACTATCCATTTGGGTATTTTCAATTCCACGGACGGGCACTATCCATCTGAGTATTTTCCGCGGACGGGCACTATGGGCTTATACACCTTATTCCAAAATGGCTGAGACTTTATAATTCTTTTATGTTCATGTAAATTAGCCCTCGATGCCTCGATTCTACCAAGAAATTCTTTTCAATTCTGAAGATGCGATCGAGGCATCGAGGGCCAATTAACATAAGTATAAAAGAATAATACAATGGTGGCTATTTTGGAATAAGATGTATAGTGTCTCTCCACGAATAAACACTATCGCGTCACGTGATCAATTTAAACCAATAAGAATCGGAGAAAATTTAGTGGTGAACTATAATCTTCAGTAGTGTGAAAAGTCTTTACACATTCATAAATCGTTAGAAATCCTTCAGCCTTTATATTTCATTTGTGAATCCTCGACAAGTAATATTCTTTTTTTTCTATTTGATATTTACTCGGAGGACATCTCACAAAAAAACCTTCAATCCTTTCATAAACGTTGCACACACTAATGTGGCCTAAAAAAAACGTCACTTCTTTCCTCTGTCAATTCGACCTTTCTATCACCATTATTTCTACAGCTGTTGACGTATTTGATTACACTTTAAGTTTGATGGCGACTCATCAAAATGGGACACCCTTTGGGAAATGGTCTCACATGGCCAACTGCACACCAAAGAAATTTTTTTGCAATTTGGCGGCTGGTGGTAGGTATCTATGAATCAGAGTGGAAGATAAGTACCGCAGGTGAAGAAAAATCGTAGCATTATGGGCACGCCTTAATATATATTTGGCTTTCAGGTCT